TTGTCTTTTTTTTTTTTTTTTTTTTTTTTTTTTTTTTTTTTTTTTTTTTTACTTGTCTATTTTTGATATATATGTTTGAGATTTGGTAGCAATTGCTACGGTGTTTTTTGCAGGTGCCGGGGTGTGTGGGTTCCACAAATCGCCGATCGGGAGAATTCCTCTGTTTACCCTAGTTAGCCAATGAGAGTCAGTTTTTAGTGAGAATGCTTGGCCATTTGCGTCACAGGGATGTGCGGGTTACCAAAGATAGGATGCTTCCGGATTTCATGCCGTCTCGGGGGCGGGGATAATTTTGTAGGGCCCATTTCTCTCTGCAGGCGCAGGATATTGTCCCAAAGGGGGGGTCTCTTTTAAAATCTCACCTGATGTTATTTCGAGTCATTCCATCCCTCGTAAAGTTTGGAGGATTGGGTATAGACCAATCCTTCACGGCCATCTCGGGGGGTGGGGATAATTTGGTAGGGCCCATTTCTCTCCACAAGCGCAGGATGTTGGGCCAAAAGGGGTCTCTTTTAAAATCTCACCTGATGTTATTTCGAGTTGTTCCATCTCTTGTAAATTTTGGAGGATTGGGTATATAGACCCATCCTTCACCGTTAACCTCTCGGAACTCGCAAGTCATGTTCAGTGATCCTATCAATGGCACGTGGACTGTTGAAAATTGGCCACAATGTCTGCCATGCGGTCGCTCTCTGCGTGACTAATCTTTCTGGAAAAGGAGATGAAAAAAACGTCCTTTCTACATTTTCTTCTTCTTCAAGTTTCCGCACTTTCGGTTTCTTTAGCAAACCCACACTCAAGTGTTTCGTTGAAACGACAATTTGTGACGAACCATTTTCTGTAATCGCGCGACTTTCTGCGCAAAGCTGCCTTGGGGAAATGAGACGGGTCGGATGGGTGAGCTGCGGAGAAAATGGGTTGGTCGGGCCAAGTTGCATGGATACCCTCATTCTTTTTGTTTTCCGTGAAAATCTGTGGGGTCAGTGTCGGGAAAGTCCCGCGTCGACGATTGGGTAACCGCGCCTTAGCAAGCGCGATGAACAACGGTTGCGATGGGTTCTTTCTTGTTCTACTATGAGCACTAAGAATTTTTGGCGCGATCATCGCGCGAGAATATCGTTTTTGAATTTTTAACTGATGTCAAGCCCCCACGGGCTCACGGAATTGTTTTTGGGCTCTTCGGAATTTCCTTTTTGCAATTAGGACTTAGGCTAGGAATTTTAGGTACTCTGAATTTTGTTGCGCCGCGCTTCTCACTCGTGCACATCTTGC